AGTACAGGTTCTCTAACGTCCCACAGAATTATCATTATTACATGTGCAAGGCCTGCAAACAAGGCTTACAGTTTGTCGTCCTTATCTGAGAAGACTTGAAAGTCTAACCATTTGTAGATGTTATTACAAAGGCTGAGTACTGGTGAGGCTGGCCGGGTTTGAACCAGGCGCCTCCTGCTTGGCAGCAGACTGGTGCTTATCCAATTGAGCTAACTGGTTTGTGCCCAAAAACTACAATAAAGTCCACATGGGCGCCAGGGTTGTAGCTAAGGAAATTGCCTGGCAGCTAAAAAAACATGGAGGAGACAAAAAGAAGACTGCATGGTGCCTTCTTTGCCAACATTGGGGAAGGTATGACTGTTTCCCTCTGTTTCATGCTGATCACCAGTCAAAAACTAGCCAGCAATGGCCTCTGACTCAGCCAGCTAATTTCCCTGGCAGCCAGCGCTTAGCGACAACCCTGGGGTGCTGTCCAAGAGGACCTCTTTAGTTTCTTTAAGGTGATCAAAAAACACAAGAACAAAAATTGCTTGAACATGCAAAAAATAGCTTGAAAAAAGTTTTGATGAGCAGGATTGCTTACAGTTCTTCTGTGATTTCAATTCCCCCAGAATACTTCACTTGCCCATTGGGCAAGTTAAGAACAGAATTCACTAGCCCAATAAAAAGCCACTAGCTCTGGGCTATCCGACACGACTTTCTTTGCACACTGATACTCCACTTGGCACTTGCCCCTACCTATCGGACACTGCTTTTTTTTCATGTGGAGAGTTACAATGTTGCCCCATCAAAATGTTCAGAATGAACAACAAGATCCATTAACTGGTGCGATTAAATTAACTACCATCCAACCTCATTCCCACAGGCCTCTCCTACTCAGCCCCTGAAATGAGGTTGACTACTGTCCTCAATTTGTGCCAAAGATTGCTTTGATTTCAACTGTCCAGCTGAAACATTCCATACTTGACAACTTTGTCTACCTTTTGTGCGAGTGGTGTGGAAGAGTTCAGTATTTCAAAATGGCGAAAATTGACCCAGTTTGACCATTTTTACCTAAAAGTAACTCTTTGATCAGAAAAGCAGCTTTAATTTAAAAAAATGGAGATGCTGTTTTCACACAGTTTTTTCAAGATTTTACGTCTTGGTTTTCAAGACACCAATTGCTGCTGGCCTACCATGAAATTGTTTGAACTTCAATGCTGTCTTACAGAGATTTCCTTAACCCCTTCACCCCTGGGAACTTTGCCGAAAAAGATATTTTAAAGCTAGTCAAGCCATTTTCTGATCACTGTCTAGCTATAAAGAGCTAAAAATTACATGTACCATAAAGCCATTTACAGGACGTGCACTTGGCGGCTCTCTGATCCAGATGAATAATGTTAGCTTCCAAAGTTTGGCCATGTACAGAAAGCAAAAGTTTGAGCCTTGACTTTTACTCTACTCCCCTTTTCTTTTATTTTTCTTGCCTCATTCTTTTTTCTTTTGCAGGGCATTTACACACGGGTTTCATTGAGAATTGCAGTAGCAGGAGAATAGTGAAAAGTAACAGGAGAATATTTTGAAAGAGCAAAGCCCTTTCCCCCTTTTGCGGAAACAGCTTGAAAACAAGCCTGGAAATTTTGTGTATTAAACCCTGCTGAGATGGCTTTTCCTATTGTCTGATAGCAAAGTTTATTTCTCATAGCTGCAGAACAAAAAACGCTGCATACATTTACCTCTACCTGGTTTCAAAACATTTTTTCTTTGAATTAACAGGCATATTGGTAAATTATGATCAACTTCTAACCCTGTTGCACCCTCCTAGAGTTGTGACATGTGGCTCTATCTTATTAAATACCAAACATAGCATAAGAGTGAAAATAAAATAATTCTCAATACGCTTCAACTTCTATTCAATATTTTTAGGATGTTTTATACAGTGAAAGTATGAGACATGAGAAACTTTTCCCGCCTCTACCAGCGAACATGTGCTTGTGCTAGACAGAACACATTTAAACAACACATTTCATCCCTCCCAGGGCAAAACTTTGCATGTCCAGTTTAATAGACAATTTGTCAAGTATCGATGAATATTTCTTCTATGTTTCCTCTGCTCTGCAATTACAATTCATAATGTGCCGTTTTAGAAGTCATCATTAAAATAGGAAAATCTCAACATTTGCATTTGCTTCACAGTAAAAATTGATTCTGTGTCATTTATATACTGTCAACATCGCCAAATTTATTTCCATAGCAGTTCAAAAAGAAATCATTCTTCTCATTATTTATAAAGGTACTTAATTCTTCTCTCTTAAACATTTCTTGACGTAACTTTGCTACTATGATTAATTTTGTTCATCATGTACTTTCACTTTTTGTTTCAATAGTATTTATTAAAAAAGTTTGATAGTAGAACAATTTCAAAGGAATTACCTTAATAATTTTTCGCATGCAAATAAAAAAGCATCGAACATACAGTCAACTCTCCACGCTTTAGCAAACCATCTAATATATTATGCGTCCCCTGTTATTTTTGTTGGGCTTAAAACTGCTAGCATTTAAATAAGGTCTTTTGTGTATTTGTTATTTATTTAGGAATGTAAAGCAAGTGGCTAAGCGCTAAAACAACACATTTCTGGGGACAATTTCTTTGTACATAACATAATGTATCCACGTCTGATTCATCTGAATAAAAAATAGCCATACTTCATTGAAATTTAACCAGAGAATTACCCATAGTAGACAGGAATTCTCCGATCTCCAATGCTTAATGAAACCCCTGTTTACAGTAGTAAGATTCATTTTGGTGGTACAGTTTTTGGGAAAGCTTTTAGGATCTTAGGATTAAATGAAAGGAAAGGTACAGGTGGGTAGTGGAATATGATTTTCATGAGAATTTTCAGGACAACATTAATTTTATGTGTTTTTTTTGTCTTTTCATCTGGCCTCCTAGACCAAATTGTGCTTATTCTGGCACAGTTTGAAACATCTCTTCACCCTGCTGCAGTTAACAGACAAAGTTGTCATTGACCGTTAAAACTGATAATGTCAAAGGCCGTAGGAGGGATGTGGATCCACACGAGTGGTTGCAGGCAGTTAGGGGGCGAATGGGTTAAATAACCCAAGCCTACGGAAATTGTATGCTTACAGGAATGTAAAAATACAGAGTTTGTATAGGAGTTGAAATGGGGTTTTGTGATGGCGGCTGTAAGTACAGCTGTTTACTTACTCAAGAGTGTCCATAAAGAGAGCTTCCACTGTATAATATAGCCTACCCTGGATTGTCCATTAGCTGTATCTCCAGGGTACAATTAATGTATCGGTCAAATCGAAGCTTCAACATGCCCCCCCCCGGGCATACCCCGGGCTTTTGACACCTTTGCCGTCCCGGGGAGGAGGGAATTTGATTATCAGAGTCTTCCAGTGGGTGGGGAATTTGATCCCCATGCTTTAGGGGTGGGGAATTTGAACTCCACCCTCGATTTCATGTAAAATATTTGGCGTGCCGAGCTATCATGGGGGACGCGGTGTTAGAGGATTTTCGTGGATAAGATTGTGCCTTTGTGGCCAATTGGTTACGAGGAAAGGGCCTAAACAAGCTTTGTGCCGTATTTGAAGTATTTAAATTTTAAAATTTTTAATATTGGATTCAGGCTTTGAATGTATGAATGTATTTTATTGTTGTGTTTACAATGAAATACAATACCTATACCGGCGATTCAATGCAACAACATGAAATAAAATAAAACGGTCAACTACTTTGACCTACTGCAAGTATGTTAATTAATAAGGTGAGCGATGATGCATGTCAGTGAAATGGTCATGATGTAGTAATCTCAATAGGTGGGATCTTTTTGTATAGAATGCTTCGTATGTTGCATGACGAAGAAAAGCTGAGCATTCAGTGACCTTGTAGCATCGATTTCCGCTGCTTTGCACGAGACTTTTGTTCGTAGTAAATACGCTAACAGTGTTGCCCAGTTTTTGTTATATTTCTAGAGATTTTGTTCGACAACTGAAGGCGTTTCCGCCGTCCTTCTGTCGTTTTTGTGCCTGTGAAATGTCCCCGGGGTGGGGGCATTTGATCACCTGAATGGACCCTAGTGTGGGGCATTTGAACGGCATTTTGGCCCGGGTAGGGGGGAATTTGAACAATTATTTTCAAAAAAGTCAAATGCCCGGGGGGTTGCACGGGGGGGGCATGTTGAAGCTTCGATTTGACCGATACATAAGGAGGTGGAGATCAGAACAGGATCTAGTATGGAGACAAACTGGCAAACCTACCGATGTTAACTTCACCCGCGACATCCTTGGGTTCAGCTGATGGAGAACTCCATTCTAATGGGGATTTTATTTCGCGAAGTAGTCTTGAAGGTAATCTGACTCTTTGGGTACCATTAAAAGACAATTCAGGAAGTGATGGAGTAAAATTTCCTTGTACGTCCTCAGGATATTCATCTGCAGAACATGAAATTTCACCATAATTCGAGCGTCTTTGAGAGCTTTGGCGATGTGAAGGGATCACTGAAGAGCCAATGTTGCTTGGAGTTTGTGATACTGATTCAGTGCTTAGTGCCACTCTCTCGAGTTTATCGTCATCTCTTACACCAGTCAATGCATCCACGGCAGCATTCGTTATGGAAATTATCTGTCTTGAATGTTTCATGCCAACAAGAAATCTCAAGTAATCCGAGTAAGCTAACGTTTTTGCTCTGGACTCTCCTTATTCCTTGCAGCATTCTTTTCTATAGATACTGAGGTCATTACATTTGTCTTTCGTTTCGTTACTGGACTATAGTTAGATCTGGAGCATTCGCTTGCCTCTCCAAAGTTTGTAATTTGTCCAGTGGCAAACAAACTCCAAGTTGACCTGCCGTCGACCTGTCAACCCGCCATTTTTAAACTTTGAACATGCAACGCCTGCAATAGCACATTCCAGAAACAGCGGTCCTCTCAGTGGGTGGCTGCTAAGCTGTAATATGAGAGACGTCAGCGAAAAAAGAGCTTCAATCAAGTTCAAG